GATTACTTGCTCAAATAATTCAATTAATAGCATACTTTCCAAATCATACTATTAAAACAATTCGCTTTGACAATGTTAGTGAATTTACCTCTCAAGCATTTAATGATTATTGCATATCTATTGGAATAAAGGTTGAACGAGTTTGTTACTCATGTTCATACTCGGAATGGTTTAACAAAATCATTTATCAAAAGCCTCCAATTGATAGCTAGACCATTACTTATGAAAAAAAAAACTCCTTATTTATGTTTGGAGATATGCAATTTTACATATCGTAACACTTATTCACATCAGCCCCATAAGTTATTGAAAATTCTTTCCCCTTCGATTGGTTTTTAGTCACGAGCTTAATATTTGTCATCTAAGAATTTTTATATGTACACTATATGTCCCAATCACTCTTCCAAAATAAACTAAAATGGGTCCTCAAAGGAGATTAGAAATATATGTTGGATATGAATCTCCTTCTATAATGAAATATCTTAAACCATTAATAGAGGATGTTTTCACAACTCGATTTTCCAACTATCATTTTGATAAAATAATTTTTTAACATTAAGGGAAAAGAATAAATAGAATAAGCAATTGGAAAAATAAATTACATGGAATACTTTATTTTTATATCATCTTGATCATCACACAAAATAATAAGAACTTGAAATTCAAATAATAATTCATTTACAAAGTCTTGTAAACCAACCGCCACATGCTTTCTCTAATCCAAAAAAAGTAATTAAATCACATGTTCTCACCGAGAATGCTCCTATTAGAATCGATATTCCATTAAGACAACCTATTAATGTTATAACAAATAAATCTATAGTACACCTAAAGCGTGAAAGGCCAATCGGTTTTAAAAATAAAAATCCTCAAAAGAAAAAAAGAAAAATAATCAAGATGAAATTATAAAAGACGTAGATAAAATGGTCCAAGATACTTTTAATAACGAGGCTTTTAGAAAAAGCTCAAATGCTTGAGGAAGATCAAGAAATTTCAATAAATTATATTAATACAAGGAGAAAATGAGACCAAAAATAGATATTCGTTGATGATATTTTTTTATATAATATTACAAATGATATTTTAAATAAGAATCCCGAGTCTAAATCTATTGAAGAATATCGACATAGAGATAATTGGCTTAAATGAAAAAATATTATCTAGGAAGAATTAAATTCTCTCACGAAACGAGTAGTTTTTGGACTCATAGTCAAAACACCTAAAGATATTGAGCTAGTAGGATACAAATAGGTATTTGTATAAAAGCGAAATGAAAAAGATGAAATTGAAAGATACAAAATAAGACTTTTAGCACAAGGGTTTTCATAAAAACCTCGCATTGACTATGAAGAGACATATTCTCGTGTAATGGATGCAATTACATTCATTATCTTATTAGCTTGACAACACATGAAAAAACTTCATATGCATTTAATGGATGTGATCATAACCTATTTATATGGTTTACTTTATAATGATATCTATATGAAAGTCTCGGAAGGACTTAAAATGCACGAAGTATGTAAAATACATTCTCGAGAGATGTATTTGATTAAATTAAAAAGATTTATTTATGGATTGAAATAATCTGGATGCATATGGTATAATCATCTTAGTGATTATTTATTGAAAAAAGGTTATAAAAATAAAACAATTTATCCACGTGTTTTTATAAAGAAATCTAAAATAGGGTTTGTGATAATTACTATATATATTGATGATTTAAATATAATTGAAACTCTTGAAGAGATTTTAAGTACCATAAGTTATTTAAAAAGAGAATTTGATAAGAAAGACCTTGAAAAAATAAAATTTTATCTCGACTTATAGTTCGAATACTTAGAATATAGAATTTTTATTCATTAGTTAACATATATAGAAAAAGTACTCTAACAATTACGTATAGATAAGGCTCATCCATTGACTAGTTCGATTGTAGTTCATTCACTTGATGTCTAAAATGATCCTTTTCGACCTTGAAAAGATAATGAAAAACTTCTTAGTCTTGAAGTACCATACCTTAGTACAATTGATGCATTAATTTATCTTGCTAATAATATCGGGCATGATATAGCATTTTCTATAAATTTATTAACAAGATATAGTTTTGCTCAAACATGGAGATATTGGAATGAAATTAAACATATGCTACGTTATCTCTAAGGAACAATTGATATGGGCTTATATTATTCTAATAAATCAAAGATAAGATTAATTAATTATGCAAATGCGGATTATTTATCCGATCCACATAAAACTCGATCACAAACTGGTTATATATTCATATATGGAGATACAACTACATATCGTGACGTCCTATGAAGCAAACTATAGCCGTAACATCTTCAAAACATGCAAAAGTACTAACAATTCAAGTCGAAAATATATTTAATTAAGATCAATGACCCATCGTATTCGAGAGATATGCAATTTATCTACCAAGCAAAGAAGTTCTAACAATATTGTATGAATATAATACTACTTTCATAGCTCATTTAAAAGAAGGATACATCAAAGTTGACAAAACGAAATATATATAACCAAAATTATTTTTCACATAAGATCTTTAACGGAGTGGTGATATTAATGTTCAACAAATTTGATCAAGTGACAATCCAATAGATTTATTCACTAAGGCATTACTTACCACAACTTTTGAGAAGATGATTTAAAAAATTGAAATGTGTCGTCTTAGAGATCTTAAATAATGTTTTCAACAAGGGGAGACCAATGTGAGGATTAATGTGTACAAGAAATGTTAAACTCTTTTTCATTTACTAGGACTTTTTTCCTATTAGATTTTTTTCTAGTAAGGTTTAACAAGACATGTTCCTTTTACAATGGATATTCAAGGAGGAGTGTTATGAAATAATGAATGTACGTATAAATGTTCATATGCTTTTCATATCCCATTACTCATAATTCTTGATATGATTTAATTCATCATTCAATATGAGAAATTGAAAAGGCGATATAATTGATTTAACAATTTATGTATTTTTAATTATTTATAGTCTCTTTCAATTATCTTCTCAATTTTAAAACCTATAAATAGATTTGATTATTCATTTATTTGTGTACAAGTATTTTGTAGAGGTTAAGAGAATAATTTGAAATTCTTATCACCGATATTCACTTTACTTTATAATAAATTTATTTTCTTATCATCTTTCTCTTCAATTATCTTATTGTTTCTATTTATTTTACAACAAAACACAACTTATTTAGTCATTAATAAAGTAAAAATAATGTGCATTTTCAATGAACTTTTTATACAAACTTCTTAGTCCTCATTGCATATATGCACAACTTAAAAACTTATTCTTTTTAATGTACTATTTTTCCCTTAAAAATATGTAATTATTATTGTTTTGTTTCTTGATGCCTCCTTGAAAAAAAGTATTTATGATATAATTTTTAGTAAAATATATAATCAAAATTTAACAATTAAAAAAAAAAATCTATCGCATGTGTTTCACTAATTTTATATTGTATCATGAATAAATTTTCAAGAAAGTAAAATACTAAAACTTCCATAAAAAAAAATATCAAAATTATTAGAACAATGAACACGTTTCATGATAATTACGGTTTAGTTCCCAGTGAGGTGCATGATTTAAAATCTATTTGATTAGCATAATTCAAACAATACTTTCTTAATCGTTGAATATTGCAAAATTTATTCAGTTGGACTAAATTGCATTAAATTATAAGATGATTACCATTTAAAAGTTTCAAAATGTTTAATAAACTAATTTTTTTTATATATATTGAAGGAATAAAAATATTAATAATTTTCAAACTTTTAATAAATAAAAAAAATCCGAACAATATTCAGTCATTAAAATTTAAAGAAATGAGGAAAATTAATTTTGAAACAAATTAATTTTTTTAAAGTGTCTAGAAAATAAAAAATAAATTATTTAAAAAATCAGAAATGCTTAGCCATTAGAGTTTTTGAAAGTTTTCAAGAAATAAACAAAACCTAAATTTTCCAAAATATTGAAGGAATTATTTTATTTCTAAAAATTTTATTTTCTTCAAAAACTTAATGTCTGTAATTTTTTTTAGTTAAAATTTTAACTTATTAAATAAAAATTAAATTTTTATTTCTTTAAAAAGTTTTTAATTGTTGAGGTACCATTTTCCTTAAATATTTTAGAAAAGTTAATTTTTTTGAAATATTTTAACTAAATTTTATGGATGAGAATTTAGAAACATATTTGGTTCAAGAATTTCAATACTTTCTTTTTCTGTGTTGTCAAAAATTTTCAAAATTTTTTTTTCTCTTAAGAATTTTTTTAAAAAAAGTTATTGGCTGAAAAAATATTTTTTATATTTTATTAAATGTTTCAGTAATCTTAATCAATAATCATCTTATAATTTAATGCGATTTAATTAAATTTAGTTGAACTCGTGAATAAATTTCACAAACACAAGTAAAATTCGATCAAATCCTTTCCATTGGTGTTTATTTGGTGAATTGATACAATATATCACAAAAGTGATTTGGGAGGTTTTTCCCCATTTAGACACATAGAAACATTAATGTATGCTCAAGTGTGCTTGTGTGTACCTACAAAACACTGCAATGTGAGAATGTTCTAAATCAAACATCAAAACATAAGTATGTTCTAGAATTCAATATTCAAAACTTTGGCATTAGACACTCACATCTTACTTATCAGTTGGCAATTATACGATGTTTTTTTTTTTTTTTTTTGGAGTTTGAATCGTTGACCACACGCCCTCTCTATATTTCTAAATTAATTTCTGCTTGGAGACTTTCAATAAAACTTTTCGTTGCGATGACCAGGTCTTTGGTCCTCTTTTACGAACTCTATCGAACCGCGTTTCTTCTCTCTAGTTATAGCTAAGCCTTATTTCCTCCTTCTAAACCCTTAAAAATGTCCAAAAATCATCATTCTGTAGCCACAATAATCCACCTCTAAAGATCATTATGAAAGTAGTATCAAATTATCCCACAAACCATTTTTTCTATGGCTTGTGATTTCTTTAATCTTCATCTCTTCTTCTACTTCATATGTTTTCCTTCTTTCATTCCACTCGTTTTTTCTCTCTCAACTGTGTCAATATCTGAAACTTCTGACCAAACATTGGTATGTGCATTAGTACTTGTTCCTAATACCACGCAGTCTTTTCTAAACTGTTCAAGTTTTCCTAGTGGAATCCAAATCCCCTTGAATTCTGATACTTCTTTTTCTGCTATAGTTGGCGGAGATGGATTCCTCTGTGGTTTGATATCCTTGCCTTTGTCTCGCGCTGCTTCAACTTTGGTTTGTTGGAGATTCTCTGTTAACGGTACTAACATGGTCTATAAGAGAATTTATCAAGGCCTGGCTTTGAGTCAACTGGAAGCAGCAAATTCTTTTACTTGTGGCCTAATTAATACCACTAAAAGCCTCGAATGCTGGCCACGGCGTGAGTTCAACACTAGCAGTGCCACTGATCGGAACTTTTCAAGTATTGCTGTCGGCGAAGATTTCCTATGTGGGCTAACGGAATCTGGGAATATTACTTGCCTAGGAAGTATTAATAATGCTGTCTCTGGCCAAGAGCCGAAGGGGAGCTATAGTGCGATTGCTGCCGGGTTTCGGCATGCTTGTGCTATAAACTTTAATAACGAGTTGGATTGTTGGGGAAGTATGGCTGGCGAGAAGCCGCAAGGCGAGTTCATGTCAATGGCCTTGGGGGAGAACCGTAGTTGCGCGCTGCGGACTAATGAGACCGTAGTTTGTTGGGGGCAAGATAATTTTAGTTTGCCGGAGAGGTTAAGGGAGACTTATTTTAGTACTATTGAAGCAAAGAGAAATGTTTTCTGTGGAGTTATGAAATCGAATTTTTCCTTGTATTGCTGGGGTAATGAGAATTTCAGCTCCAATTTATTGGTGTTTGAGGATGTATTGCCTGGCCCCTGTGAAAGTGCCTGTCCAGATGGTTTCTTAGAAGGATCCGGCAGATTGTGCCCTGAAGGCCAAAATATTTGCCACCATTCCTCGAGCAATATCAATAGCATTCCACCGGCGGTCGTGCCATCACGGCCTCCAACACAAGAGCCTCATCAAGAGAGGAGCAGTAGGTGTAAATTGAAAGGCAAAATGATAGCTTTTTTAGTGGTGGGATGTGTGGGATCCAGCGTTTTATTGCTAGTCATTGGATTCTTCTTGTTCAAGTATTGCAAGTGTAGAGGCTGCCGGGTCCATGATTCCGGGCGCTTGGATGGGACCGGACCAGGAGCCCCGGTGGAACGGGGTGGTGCCCCAAGCCAACCACAAGCCCCACAAACCGAACAAGCATCACCGGTCTTAGAGAAGCGGCTAAGCCAGTTGGCTAGCATGGGAAATGCAGGTCACTTGGAGGAATTCTCTTTGCAAGTTCTACTTGAAGCCACCAACAATTTCTCACATGATAAAAAAATCGGCACAGGAAGCTTTGGTTCAGTTTACCAAGGGACATTAGATGATGGGCGCGAGGTAGCAATCAAGCGAGCTGAAACATCAAACACTTATTCATATGCTGTTGGAACAAGGCGTCAAGAGGACAAGGACAACGCATTTATCAACGAGCTTGAATCCCTCTCGAGAATCCATCACAAGAATCTCGTCAGGTTGTTAGGATTCTGCGAAGACAGCAATGAGAAGGTATTAGTCTACGAGTATATGCACAATGGCACCCTCCATGACCATATGCACAAGCTTGACAGTTCACCCTTGATGTCTTGGGCTGCACGCATCAAGGTAGCACTAGATGCAGCCAGAGGGGTCGAGTACCTTCATCGGTACGCAGTGCCACCAATCATCCACCGTGACATCAAGTCATCAAACATATTGCTTGACTCCATGTGGACTGCCAAGGTGTCCGATTTCGGTCTATCTCTGATGGGTCCCGAAGATGACACGAAACACCTATCGCTTCGCGCAGCTGGCACGGTAGGTTACATGGACCCAGAGTATTATAGACTCCAGCAGTTGACCACAAAGAGTGATGTGTACAGTTTTGGAGTAGTGTTGCTGGAGATGCTGTCCGGGTACAAGGCCATACACAAAAATGAGAATGGGGAGGCTAGGAACGTTGTTGATTTTGTCGTTCCCTACATTGTCCAAGATGAAATCCATAGAGTTTTAGACTCAAGATTGCCGCCACCAACACCATATGAAATAGAGGCAGTGATATACATAGGGTACTTAGCAGCAGATTGTGTTACACTAGAAGGTCGAGATCGGCCATCCATGACCGATGTTGTAAATAGCCTGGAAAGAGCATTGGCTGCGTGCTTGGTGCACCCAACTTCGCTTTCGCGGTCCACAACCGGGTCTTCCACATGAGAGATTAACACGGAAAGAATTGAAAGCGTATCGCAAGTGCTTGGCATTAAACACATGCCATGAAATAGTCCTTCTATTTTTGTGTATAGTCGTAGTTTAAATCATTTTTTTCAAATCCACAGAGATTTTTTCCGCCTATTTGTTGATTTATCGAGGCAAAAAGTGTATGTAGATGATGTACCTAACACATAATTATTACAGTTTCTTCCCTTCTATGATTCTTTCAACTCTCAGCTTTGAATTTTTACCTCTTCCATTGCGAGGTCAAAGGGAGGAAAGTTTTGAAATAGAAGAATCAACACATGATGCACCAAAGCATGGAGTCAACTTTTTCCAACACCACCATTAACCACCACACGAAGGGGTGGGAGACTTCAACCCCTTTTTTCTTTGCTCAGCTTTGTGATTAAGAAAGATTTAAGAGGGTTTTCTATAAAATTAATATATCTAGGTTTAGAAAGGTCTATCCTTGCTTTGTAAAAATATAATTTGATTACTTTTCAAATTCATTGTGCTGCGAGATGTGGACAGTGATAGCTCAAAACACGTCAATGAACCGTTTCTTATATCTTCCTTGCAGAATTTAAAAACCATTAGGTTTTCATTAGACATAGTGATGTTTGACAACGATGAATGAACTGACTCTTGCTATAAGATCAGCAAATTTTGATATTTCCACGGTTTCACCCACCGTATCTTCTTGTACCATAAAAAATTTTCAAGATAAATACCGTATCTTCTTTCCTATAAAAAATTTCAAGATAAATATCGCAATCTGTTTTTATCTATTCCTAGGTTTCGGTCAAAAATTTTATCTATTATCCAAAAATAAAAATGATAAAAACGACCTATTGAACATTTCGAAAATTTTCAAAAATAAATAAAATAGAAATAAAAACCTAAAAATATATGGAAAATACATAATATTATATAAAGATAAATTTAGCTATTTATCCCTTATTTTATGTTGGTCTTATAACCAAATGTCCTCGTGACATTGAAGCTGTATGTCAATATCAGAGTAGTTTATTTGTTTAGATAACAGTTCCATAAAGTCCAAGACGAAAGCAAAGAGCAAAATTTGTTGAGTTATTATAATGAACAAGTCTAAAAGGTAACAAAGGAAGGGACTTCTACCACTCGAGGCCTAATCATTTTGAATGTTTCTCAAATACAGAGACCCAAAAGTCTTAACAGAAAGATATAAGAAGATCATCTAGAAATGCTGGCACGAGCTTGAGTAAAGATGGGAAAGTAAGGGCACCCATCAACATCTATGTGGTCATCATCCACAATAGCTATCATTTGCTAGAACATTTTTTACTTCAGAAAATTCAAACAAGTTTAGACAGCACAAACATGAACACAAGTGATTATTTTTACGGACTTGAAAATCCTGACAATGCAAAAACTAGGATACATTACCAATAGGCACAGGTTAAGTTTGTCAAATTACCAGAAAGCCAGACCAACATATGCAACGCCTTACTAGCATATGCAAATTATTTGTCCTTGGAAAAAATTTGCATGAAGAGCAACTACATTAGGTTTTTTTTTTTTTTTTTTTCCCACAGTATTCTCGAGACCAAAAGACCTAAAATTTTTGCACGGTTCAATTGGTTTCCAGACAAATGAAATTGAAATTTTCACAACTTACACTTCAAAGAATAATTTAATAACAACAACCAACACGCCTCAAGCATTTGGTAACTCTCAAGAAAGAAAAGCAAAGGGGACTTACTAGTGAAGCAATTATTGAGGATGAGGTATAAACCTGCGCATATGGGCCCTGAAAAAAAAAAAAAGGGCTAGACAACTATACCAGTTTTCACAATTCCTGATTCATGACTATTGTTTTTACACCAGTTCTTCCCTTCATCCATGCAGCCCCATCTATGCAGCCAGAGATCCCGAAGTGAACTTACTATCCATAAGTAATTTTGATAGAGCACCATCAATTTGTGAAAACACATCTTCTTTCGGAACATTTCCATCAACCTGAAATCAACAAAATTGCCCTCCAAGTTAGATTTGATAATAGTACAATACCAGTTGCACGATCTGCCAAATCATATGCATACACCAGAAACCTTCTCCTTTGCTTTTTTTTTTTTTTTCCATGATGATATTCTAATGACTCAATAAGCAGATTTTCCTCCCTCGTAAAGGACGAGCAAGACAAAAATTTCTATTGCGTAACTCAAAATAATACAGCGCAAAAGTATGGTTACACTAGAGCACAAGCATTAACAGATGTGATGTTGATGTTGACTAATACAAATCTAAAACATGATGCTTGTGCATATCTACCAACAAGCACAATCTCATATGCTTCCTAATAGTCTCAGCATCAACTTACCATGAGCTATTCAACATGATAAATTATTTACAAGATAGTGGGCAACCTGATAGCATTAGGATAGCTGGGATGATATGGTAAAAGAGTCAATTAAACACACACACAAATAAAAAAAAAAACAATGAAGAGAGAGATAGAGGAGAGAAGAGTCCACTCTTCATCACTGTATCGAGAGAGAGAGAGAGTTTATCACATGCCTTGAGTGTAATGTCTTCATACATTGAAAGTACTGCCTCCACATTTTGATGATGAGTTTGCAAGCGCAACTTCACCTAAATACAGCCATATGCAAAAGGAAAAAAAACATTATCACATAGCAATATCGATCCAATGCCTATCTTGAAGCCACAAACAAGGCAGTCCTTTTAAATAATAAGAATCGTAAGTACACAGATTAGTTCAGAACATGCCTTTTCTTCAGTGTCATCAAAACGTTGGGTGAGTCTGGCAGCAATTTCTTCAGTCTCTGGGGGAGAATACTTCAGGTGGTATATCTTCCCAGTAACAGGGTCTAACCTACGTCCAACCACTCTTTCAACAAGAATCTCTTCGTCGACCTGCAAATCAACATTCATGAGATTGGCTGAAGGGGAAAACTCAATCTTAATATTTACAATTTTAATCTACCCAAGAATGTGAGGATACATGAAGCCATTAAATTGTTAAATCAATTCTTTCTTTTTCACAATCATCTTCTTTTAGTTTGACTTGGATAAAGCATCCTAAATCATTTTAAGCTTACATGGAAATCAACAAGTTAGCCACAGAGAAGAACATCAGCATGCAAGTTCACATTCTCCTCTCCCTAGCCAGATAATGGAATGTAAGGAAAAATATAACATGCCAGTAACAACAAGAATTCTTACTTCTAGGACAATAAAAAGATGAGGTCGGAAGCTAAATTCTTTAAGAGCAGTTGCTTGCGATAAGCTCCTCGGGTATCCATCCAAAAGCCAACCATTTTTTTGAGAGTCTGGCTGCAGCAGACGCTCCTTCACCATCTACAAGATCAGATCATTGAATGAACAATATGAATGATTCAAAAGGAGGGAGGTGGAGGAGGAGGAGGAAAGAATGGGGTAGTTACACCACAACTACCATGACAACTATTTCATTTGGGACCAACTGTCCTCTCTCCATGTATTCTTTTGCTCGCTTCCCATTTTCAGTTCCCGAAGCAATTTCTGCCCTCAGCAGGTCTCCAGCAGCAACATGCACCAAACCGTACTGCATTTATGAGAATGAATTGGTTTGATCTGGTTTTCCTCACCGGCAATTGTAAAATGAGAAATCATGCAGCAAATGCTTTTCTATCAGCAAATCCCCATAAAACCAATGGGAAGCATAAACATATCCAATCTCAAAGCAGAATTTCAAATAATTGTCTTGTTTATCCAAGCAACCACCAATGACACTGTAAAACAATTCCAGTTGAGCTCAACTTGCAATTAGCTTATCCGATAGCTCGATCAAGCTACTTGCTCATTAATCCAAGCTTGAGCAGAAATTAAGTAAGGCATAGTCCTCTATACCATAGTCAAGGAACTAACGACAAGCCAATTAAGAGTTTTCACATGAACAACTACTGACCAAAGAAGCAAAATGGGTGAACCTTATCAGACATAGCTTAACTATTGTGGCAAGCAAGCCAACATATTGATGATAGCAACTACATAATCTGGTCGTACACAAATACTTCAACTTGTTTTCACATTATGCTCCAGCCTGGAAGAGGAAGAGTAGAGGGAAAGATTTTAAAGTATCAATTAGAAGATCTATCAAATTTGTTTAAATTGTGTTTCTCTAAGTTTTGAAGGCAGCTTGTATCAAAACCCTAATAGTTTACACTAACTGTCTTCCTTCCAAGTGAAACAGATATACAATCCTTGGGAACTAGTGAAGCTATCAAGCAACTCTCATACAATGCTGAGTTTTCAAATAAAGAAAATAACAATTACATAGAGTACCTAAAGTTTGAGATCAAGTCAGATTAGCATAGAGACCGAGTCAATATAATCTCCAAAGGTTGATGGATCTCACAACTAATTTGAACACGCTTTTTTTTTTTCTTTTTCTTTTTGTGTGTGTGTGTGTGTGTGTTGGGGGGGGGTGGGTGGTGTGGGGGTGTGGAGGAGTGGGGAGTGGGGGGACTGGACTTGACTAAGCACAAGCAACTATGCCAAGCTGGTCGTTCAAGCTTGGATCTCTTAAACTAACTATTTAAAAGCACACTAGATAACAAGAGATGGAACTCACTGTTATCAAACTCAATAGACTCAAATCATGGAACATACAGTCATTGACATAAAAACTATAATGTCTTATTCAGATGCTTTGAACCTTCACAAGGTAAAAAATCCAAATAAATAACAGCAAGCTACACGCATTACAAGGAACAACAAAAAGTTCTTCAAAAAGCCACATTTTGGTATGCAGATCAGTAAACATAACTAACAATTGGGGGAAAAAAGAAAAGTTGCTCCCTAAAGAAAGATTAATGAAATTGAGTAACAGAGAGTACTGCAAGAGATTAAAAAGAAACGTAAAAAAAAAAAAAAAGGCTTACTTTCTTAGCGATGAGCTCACATTGAGTACCTTTACCAGAAGCGGGAGCTCCTGATATCATTATCTTCAAAGGCTCTGGCTTTGCTGATGCCACAACCTGCAGATAACCACACATACACATTAAAATTATTGAGTTAAAAAAGCCCATAAAAATAAACAAATTCATATAACAACAATAAAACCCTATGGTTCTCAATCAACAACAAATAAAAAATGATGAAATTCAAAACCCAATACGAAAAATGAAATCTTTTTCACTTACAAAAGCTGAATTGTTGGTTTTGGTGAAACGAGTGGACAACTGGGTTTGATGGGCATGCGGAGGAAGGCAATCTTTAGTGTTCTTGTAAGCAAAAGTCAAGTTTGAAGAGAGGAGAAGCTGAGAGGATTTTGAGGAAGAAAAGGGCTGTTTTGGGTTCCCTTTTCCTTTCGCTCCCAAATTCACATTGCAGGAGCTTGTAGCTGCTGCCATTTCTTTGTCCTCTCAACACCTCTCTTCTGTGTCTCCCTTTTCTTTTGTTTCGCTAATTTGGCATGTTTGTTGAGTGGTTTTGTGGGATATTCTTGTATGCCGGAAGTGGAAGTGGTAGTCGTCGTTTGGATAAACGACAACACTGCAGATGGCTGGTATTTTTGGGTTAGGCGTTGTTGTCTTTGGGTTTTCTCTATTTGTTGGGTCACTACGAAGCCAAATATGTGGAGAAAGAAATGATAAGAATAATAAAATTAAAAAAATAAATTTATTATAAAATAAAGTGAATAGATAATAATTTAAAAATAATTTTTTCAATCTTTATAAAATACTTATATATAAAATAATGAACAAACAAGCTTATTTATAGGCTTCAAAATTAAGAAAAGAATTGAAAAAGACTATAAACTATTAAAGGTGCATAAATAATTAAATCAATTATATCACCCTTTCAATTTCTCATATTAAAAGATGAATTGAATCACATTAAGAATAATGAGTAATGGGAATATAAAATGCATATGGACATTCATTATGTTATAACACTTTTCCTTAAATGTCCATCGTACGAGAAACGTGCTTTGTTAAAACCTTATAAGAAAAAAAACCCGAGTGAAAAAAATCCTAATGAAGAAAAAATAGTATAATATTCCTTGTATACATTAATCTTATATGAGGCTCTCATGTTGAAATCATTATTTAAGATTTTTAAGACGATGCATCTCGGTCTTGCGTATCATTTTTTAAAAAGTTATGGCAGGTAATGCCTTAGTAAATAAGTCCATCGGATTATCATTTTGATATATTCTTCCTTTAATTGAATTATACAAGCAATATTATATTCATATAATATTTTTGAAACTTATTTGGTAGTAGATAAACCGCATATCTTTCGAATATGATGGATCGTTGATCTTAGCTAAACACAAACTCGACTTTGCCTCATGAATTGGTATTTCGCATAATTTAAGTATGTAGTAGCTATAGTTTATTTCATAAAACGTCATGATATGGTTATATCACCAAGTGTAAATACATAACCCGTTTGTGATCAAGTTTTGTATGGATAAGATAAATAACTTTATATCGAGTCGAGTATTATTAGAAAGATATATTAATGCATCAATGGCACTAAAATATGATACTTTAAGATCAAATAGTTCTTCGTTACCTTCTCGAGGTCGAAAAGTGTCTTTTTTGGATATTAATTGAGCGAACTCCATTAGGCTAGTCAATGGATTATTTTTATATAGAATAATTGTATAACTTTTTCTATATAAATTGACTAATGAATAAAAATATCATTCTTTAAGCGCTCGAACTGCAGGTCAAGATAAAATTTTGTTTTTTTAAGGTATTTCATATCAAATTGTTCATTTAGATCACTTATGGCATTTGGAATCTCTTTAGGAATTCCAATAATATTTAAGTTATCAACATATATAACAATTATCACAAACCCTTTTTTGAATTTTTTTATAAAAATACATGAATAAATATGGTTATTTTTATAACCTTCTTTCAATAAATATTTATTGAAGCGATTATATCACATACACACGGAGTTAGTAATAAAGAATAGATATTTAAAAATGAAATATAAAAAGTATAGCATAAATCAAATTTTTAAAAACTTAAGTAATGAAACAAACACTTAAATAATCCTTATAGAGATATCTAGAATTTAATTGAATTTATTTCTCAAGAATATGTATTACATGCTTCGAGCATATTAAGTTCTTCTAAGACTTTCATACAAATATCATGTCAAGTGAATAAATAGGTTGTAATCACATCCATTAAATGCATGCATATGAAATTTTTCATATATTTTGATAGGCTAACAAGATAACGAAATATAATTACATCAATTAGAGGAGAATATATCTCTTTATAGTCAATGTCATGTGCTTGTGAAAACTCTTATGTTACAAGTCTTGCTTTGTATCTCATAATCTCATCTTTCTTATTTCATTTTCGTAAAAATATTCATCCGTATCCCACTAGCTTAACATCTTCAAATCTTTTGACTATGAGTTTAAAAACTACCCATTTGTAAAAGAATATAATTCCTTCTAGATTGCTATTTTTATTTAGGCCAATCATCTTTATGTCGACATTCTTTAATACATTTAGGCTCGGGATCGTTATTTCCATTCAAAATATCAATTGCAATATTACATACAAAATTATATCAATAAATATTTCTTTTTCGGTCGTATTTCCTTCCTATATTGACATAATTTATCAAAGTTTCTTGATTTTTCTCAAGCATTTGAACTTCTTCTAGAAGCCTACTATCGAAATATCTTGGATTGCTTTATGAATATTTGCATCCTTTCTATTTTCATCTTAATTATTAGCCTTTTATTTTTGGGATTTTGTTTAGAACTAATCGATCTTCCATGCTTCGGACATGCTTTAAATTCATTTGATATAACATTAATAGATTGTTTTTCTAGGATATCAATTCTAATAGAAGCATTCTCGGTGAGGATATGTATTTTAGTTACTTATTTAGGATCCGAGAATGTATCTAATAGTTGGTTTGCAATATCTTGTAAATAAATTATCTTTTGAGCTTCTAGTTCACATTATTTTGTATGAGGATCAAGATGATATAAAGATAGAGTACTCTATGTAATTTTTTTTAATATTTTCAACTCTTTATTTTGCTTACTCTCTTCCCCTAATGTTGAAAAAACTATTTCATTAAAATGACGATCAACAAATTGAGTTATAAAAATATCTCTTATTCATGGTTTTAAATATTTAATCATCAAAGAGAATTTAAATCTAACATATATTCCCGATCTCCTTTAAATGCCCATTTTAGTTGGTTATGGAGAAGCACTATGATACATACTTGTACGACTAAAAATTCTTAAATGAGAAATACTTAACTCATGACTATAAACCAATTGAAGATGAGAGAATTTTTAATAACTTATAGATCCGATACAAATAAGTGTTACTGCATGTAAGATTGTATGTCCCTATACATAAATAGGGAGATTTGTTCTTATAAATAATGGTTTAGCTATCAATTGAAACCTTTTGATAAATGATTCTGCTAAACCTTTCAAAGTTTGAACATGAGCAACAAGTTGTTCAACCTTTATTCTAATAACCAATCAATGATCATTTAATGCCCGAGAGATAAATTCACCGAGCATTATCAAGGTGAATTCTTTTAATTGCATAATTTATAAATTATGCTTGTAATTGAATTATTTAACCTAGCACTTTCAAAAATTTTAGCTTTCGAATAGATAGTAAACATACACATGATCAATTATGGATGCATCTATTAAAATCATAAAATATATAAATAGTCCATATGATGGATGGATGGATGAATGATTGATCTACATATATCATCCCGAATATGTTCTAAAAATACTGGAGATTAAATCTCAATTTTACTTAGTGATGGCTTAATAATCAATTTACCTTGAGAACATACAAAACATTAAAATTCATCAAATTAAAGAATCTTCCGGCTCTTCGATAGATGTCTATATGAATTTTTAATATTTTTTTATATTATCAAAGACCTAGGATAACACAATTGGTCATGCTACATAGTAAAAATATTTGAATTAGTAAACTTCTAGTTTATTATACCATTTGTTTCAACCATTTCAATGTATGTAATAAAGACTAAAAAAGAAAACGAGTAATTTTTTTAATACATATTTTCTATTCGATGTAATTATAATATTCAAGAATTCAATATTTTTCACATTTGTTGTCTTAATATGATGTCCATTTAGATGAATATCTATCAAACTCAATAATTTTCTATGAGACTTTATGTAATAACCTAAAAAAAAAGTGAGGGTCGGTATAAAAGGGGTAGTAGCTATCCCCATTTTCTAGAAATTTTTACCCCTTTTCTCCTCTCCTTTTCATGCCATTCCTCTCCCAAATTTCTCTGAATTCCTTCCTTTAAATCCTAAGCTAAATCATTACTAAGTTAGCTTATGAAAACCTTAAACAAGAACATTTAAGAGGAGCATAGCTAGATTAGAGCTTGGAAAGCTTGGAGAGCTAGGATCGATTTGGAATTTGAAAAGCATAGTGTCAAGGTAATATTTATGATCAATTAATCTTTGAATTATGAATTTTACATGTGGTTAATGATGATATTAAAATACAATTGCTTTGGGCTATTGCTTGCTTGAAGAATTGATTAGATTAAGATTAGGGCTTTTGAGACCCATTTAGGGAAAATTTTGATTAAGTGATTCTAGGTGTTTAAATGATATTTAATTGTCTTGAGTAAGTGAATTAAGAATTAATTTAAAGTGAAATTTAGTAAATTTGGGTAATTCGGATATTGAAGATGATGAATAGTGAAAAAATTGAAATTTAGGTTTTAATCGAAAATAATTTAAGAAAATGAGGAATTAAGTAATATAAATACAATTAAAGGTAAATGGAATGAGTATTAGATGAATTGGGATGGAATTAATTATTTAATTAAAAATTGATTTTTTAAAGATTAATTAAATTGGGAATTGATAATAGTATATGGTTAGGCAATTGTTGGAATTATTAGAGAGATTGTAGAGTTTAGTTAGTGTTATCGGTTTGAATCCTCCCGATAAATTCCATTTTGTTAATTATCTAATATTTTTTATTTTTAAATAATTCAATTGTTTTTGAATTATTCTTTAATATTATACGAGTATTGAAGATCGTTCCATCATCTTGTGTTACTAGATTCTTTAGAGTGCGTGACTCCTTCTCAACAATCTTGATCTAGTCAATCCATTCGATTCTTTGAATTATATTATGAATGGATATTATACAACATTTTATGTTTTTGAATTTCTTGGATAATTCTAACATACATCATTGATTTAAGTATGATTTAAAGGCATTCCATTAGAACTTAGATGGAAACGAGACTCCATGAATATCCGAAATGATTTTGTATAAAAAATGATTTAATATGAATATTTTTTTAAGAAAATGTGTTATTTTAATTATTC